CTCACCCTGCAATTTCCAACGTTAAAAACAAGCCTTGAACAACTTACTGAGATGAAAACCTCTTTATTCCACACTCAGGTAGCTCATCTCATAATATTTATCCAGATTAGCGCTCACGCTGAAGTCTTTAAATAAAGGCTTCTCTCCTGTCACTATTTAATATTTAAATGCTCTTGTTTAATTAAATATAAGACATTTTATAGACATTTCCAAAATTCACTGTGATTTTGACTGGAATTGCATCAGACACAAACATTAGGCCACAGTAACTAGGAAATTGATCCTATGTACACAAGAGCAAGGCATGTATCTATGTTTATTCAAATTTTGTAGACTTTTAGATAGAACTGCATACGTAACTCATAACATGATATATTAGACTTACTTCATGCACCTTCCAGTTTTTGTTGCTACAGTGAAAGAGTCCAGTTTGAAAAGATACATTCTAATTAGATATGACTAATGAATACCTCAGTATCTTATATGGTAATCTTACACACACTGAATTTACTTGGTAAAGTTACTGCTTATTTCTTTGTGGGTTACATGGATTTTTCATAGACAAACAATGTGTGAAGGAAAGATAAATCTCCTTTATCATTTGTATTCAGTTTGTTCTTGACTTTGTTTTCTTCTTTCCTCATTGCACTGGATAATAACACTAGTACAAGTTGCTCTTAACATTGGCATGGTATAAGAAGGTCTTATTTCAGCTTTTTATATTTTACTACTTTCCTTTTAGTGGGTTATGATTTCCTTGCACATAGTTTGTTTCAGTGAAAATTTTGGTCAAATAAAAATTCAAAGTCTGGCACATATGAATAAAATAAAAAATTTTTTTTAATTATCCTAATCAAAAAAAATTCAAAATCTGTTATTGGTTAACGTTTAACCAGGAGACAGATCACACTTACATGTGATCAAGAAATGTTTAATACAAAGAATTATTATTAAGTATAATAAGGTGGGAGGAATCGTGAGGAGCTGACAAGAAAGAAGTAAAATAACTAACTCTGGAGAATACATATATAATGGGACAATAAAAAACAGCTATACCTAGGGGAAAAATGTTGCAACCAATAAGGAGATGACACATCACACACACACACACACACACACACACATCAAACCAAAGTTACAACAGTACAGCCACAGCTCAAAAAACTGAGCCTCCTAAACTGTGTGGAATTCCACTATAAAGATCTCTCCTGAATTTCACCTCATGGGTGTTGGGAAAGCTTCTCACACAGAGATCTGCTGCCAGTCACGCTCAGTATGAAGCTGTTATAGTGGCTGCTGGGAAAATCCACCTATGACCAGATGCTGGGTCTACAATGCAGCTCTTGAGCCTGGCATTGAGAAGCTTCCATACTACCCATTCAACAACTGAAAATATCTGACTTATCTGAATTCTTTACTGTTGGTGAATAGGCATGCTTACATAGAGTTCTTTCTTTTTTTTCTTTGGACAATTTCCATGCTCTACCATCATCTGCATTTGCTTTTCATCTGTTTATTGATTTTAAGAACCATCCAGTTTCCGCCACACCCATGTTAGATTTTGCCTTTGTGTTATTATTTTCTTCTTTCTTTTTCACAGTCATCCTTCCAAATCCAAGCAATGGTGGACTGCAAATAATCACAAAAAAATCATCTGTATTGAACATGTGAATACCTTTATCATTATTTCCCAAATAGTCCTGTGTAATACCTGTTCACATAGCTTTTGCATTGTAATGTGGATTATATGTAATTAGGAGATGATTTACATTACAGTCTCTGCAAATCTCTCCTCCATTTTATACAAGAGAATAGTATGTCCATGGATTTCCACTTGCAGTAAAAGGACTGGATCAATCCACTGCAGAAAAACATAATAATGTACGCGAGCAATGACTACAATGGTCTGTATAAAGCATAGCCTCACATACATTTGCTACTCCTTTGTAAGTTCGTTTTTCTAAGTCATTAAAAATTAATCGACTTTGTCATTAATTTGTATACTCTTGACTTAAGTAGTCTGCTGGTACATCCTTTTAACCTTTTTTTCTTAGCAAGTGCATTCATAGGTAAGAATTTTCTTGATTTGACTAAGATTTTCAAAAACCACTTAGATAGATTAGGTAGTGAGATCAATGCTAACATGTCATGTTTTGATTCATTAATTAGAGTGCAATTTTCCATCCAATTCATACAGCATCATTAGTTGTAGTAGTAGTAGTAGTATTTATTTAAAATAGCACTGAATTATGGTGAGAAAAATATTCTGTGTAAAGAGTAACTCTTTGACATACATTCAGAATTTTGGGGTTTGTGAAGTGTCTGTTTACAAAAGAAATATGTTTCTTGAAATAATTGTTCATTCTCTGTTGGTAAAGAGCTCTACATTTGTCTATTGATTAATCTTATCATGTTGCTTCCATCCTCTTAGTAGTTTATGAAATATTTCGTATTTTGAATTTCACACACCTTAGATTCATTATTCTCCCCATTATTAAACAATGATGCAGTTTTGGAAGGATATTTTTGAAAGCACTCATGGCCATAATTATTGGTCTTATTTATCATTCTTCTCTTTCATTAGTTTAAACGTCACTCTTTAAATATTGATACATATCATTCAGTAAGTATTACATTTACTATTCATACTGCTCCAGTAACTTTTACAGTTGGTTGGTATGTTAATTCAGACTTCAGGTTCACATTTAAAAAATAACTAAATTTGTACAAGTTTAGTGATTTAGATAGATAAACATTTAGCTCTCTATGTAACAATAGCATCCTAGTTCTGACAGTTGGAACAACAACATCCAGAACATAAGATTGGAGTTCTGTTAATAACCAAGAAGAGAAGAACAAGTATTAGAAATCATCTAAGAGTACTTTGACCATTTATAGTCCTGTATCTTTATTCACATATTATCAATGACTTTTCATTTAGATGTAATTCTTATATACAGATGTCATATATGAGAAAAAAAAAGAACATAAGTATGGAAAATACATGATTATATTTTACAAAATATATGATATGTGATATTACATATAGATATGTATAATAAATACATGCTAATCTAAAGCCTGCTTCTTTTGAATACCTAAAGAAATTCATTTAGGGATCTGTGACAATTTTGAACTATTTTTTAATTGTCCCACTCATGGTTGTCAGATGTAGCTCTTGTTTTGTCTAATTCTCTTTTTTCTGTTTATCTTTGATTGACATTGTAACAAATGCTAATATTCTTTTTTTAAAGCTCTCTATTTAGCAGTTAACTCACTAGTTCTATTTTTATTAGGTTACATGCACTTGTTAATATGTATAATGCTTCTTTGTACAATCAGGTCTGATTCACACTTCAGAACATCAGTTTCTCTACAAGAAATACAGTACTACAAATGTGAGTTCTAGAAAGACATTTAAATAAACACAATAACCACCACAAAATATTATAATGCCCTCTTTTGAGTAGCTATTAAAGATTTTTTTTATTTTGTACCATAAGAGCATATCTATCTTACTGAAGACTTAACAACTTAAAAACAGGCCCCTTGACCACTTTTCCTTCTTTCTAAGTCCCTTTCTCAGCCTAATTTATTTTAAAACTTATTCACTTTTATTTATCCTTTGTTTCTGCCAAACAATCAGTACTCCTAAGTATCAGCCAGATTTTTCTCACTGTGACTATGCCCTCAGTAGCTTTTTTTTAATTAATTTTCACAGCTAAAAGTAAGAAAATTTGTTTGGGCTCAGTTTCAGAGTTTTCAGTCCATGGTCAACTGTCTCTATTGCTTTGGGCCTGAGGTAAAGCAGAGGATATGGCAGTGGGTGATGGTAGCCAGGAAGCAGCAACAGGAAATATCCAAGGGCAAGATGCCCTTCAAAGGCAGGACCCCAATGACCTACTTCTTCCAACTAGGCTCCACCAGGTAATAGTTCCATCACCTTCCAATAATGTCATTCAACAATGAATCCATCCAAGAATAAATCCATTAATTATGTCAATAGCCACATGAGTCAATCTCTTCTGAGTTATTCCATCCCCAAGCAGATAACCAAGCCTTCAACACATGAACTTCTGAAGGACACAGTATACCCAAACCATAGCATAACAACATACACAAATAAAGAAAGTAATAGTTAATTATATGCTGGCCACTAACAGGATGCTCTAAATTGTGTTTGCATTTAAATCTGGTGAAATACAGATAAATGTTGACACAGAGTATAATAAAACCTTGTCCAATGTGATTTTCAATTTAAAGGCTATAGTCATCCATGATTGAGCATTCCTGTGCATTAAAAATTAAATTGACTGTGGTATGCCTGTGAAAATAACAGAGAAAATACAACTTATTTCCAAATGCAAATTCCTATTCCAAATAAAAATTAGTGTGCTCAAGAATTTATTTTTCTGAAACTAAAAATACAGAGAGGGACATTAGAATAAAGTATCCTCAGGTGTCAGGAATTTCTTAACTACATTTTATACATGGATCTTAAATTTATTAACAATCGATTTAGTGCATCTGACTTAGACATCTACAACTATTCTTCATTATTTCTCTGAAATGTTAACAATACATTCCAGATAATGAAATTATTTTTACATGCAGAGATATACAGTTTTATTTTTACTAAATACTGCATTCACATGTGTATATATATATATATATATATATATATATATATATATCTTTTATGTTATAGATTAATCACTTTTTAAAAAGTAAATGATTGACAAAAAAGTATAGTTTATAATAAATGGTGCTAATATTTAAGTGATACATATTTATATCCTTTTATAAGTTTACTAACATATATACCTGTATACATTACGTTAAAGTTGTAATATATTTAAACATATTAATTCCAAGCATGAGTTTTGTGAAATTCATGAAATAATGTAAGAGAAGAACATTGGGGAAGTCCAAATTGATAATTCAATGTACTCATTTGAACTGACTATCCTCTGCAATATGCAAGATGATCACAAAATATTTTAGAGACATGGGGGTCTCCCATCTTTGCACCTGTACCTCACCCACTGCAGCACAGAAAGAGAAGCCTGTCTCAGCTTACTATTTCCCAGAATCAGGACACATGAGTGGACTGAAGGAAAAACCATTCCAGCAGCATGGAACATAAACATGATTGGAAATTTCTCCAATATATCAAAGCTAGAAAGCTGTAAAGCAACAGACAGAAATAAAATGGTATACAGTAAGAGGAAGGCGATGACAGTTTTCACAGCTTTTATGTGCTCCATGATGCTGGCATCTCTGGATCCTTGGGCATTGTGCTGCATCTTCTTGTGATGTTTCCACAGGGAAAAGATTAGCAGGAGTAAAGCTGTCAAGGACACAAAAAAGGGTACAGACAGAAAAATGAGGGTGAGCATTACCACAAGCCTGGAAAGTTGTGCAAAGATCCTTAAACTGGAAGTGTGAGATGTGTTCCTTTTAGATTCTTCAATCCAGGCGTCAATGTATGTGTTCATCAGGATAATACGTGGAAACAAGAAGACCAGAGACGCCAGCAATGTCACCACAACCACTTTTTTAACTCTCCACTTTAGGTAAAGAAATACAGAGTTAGAAAATCTGGCTATCTTGAGAAAATAAAAGATGCTGAGGCTTGAAGCAAGCCAGACGTTAAAGTGATCCATCACAATCCAGGTGATACACACCACTCGCATCACTACTCCAATCTTTTTTATGGCTTCCAACAGTGAAGGTGGAGATGACGTTACATTTACAAGTACAATCCAGAGCAGACCAAGTCTGGAGAGAGCCAAAGCAGTGAGGATTTGATCAATGGAAGACATCTTTCTTTTCTTGACCCAGTCCATGTAGTTCACCAGTGCTATGAATCCATTTCCTAAATTTCCCACTACGACTTCCACACATAAAATGACTATAGATGTGCTCCATAAGATATTAACCATTGTACATAAGAGGATGCCCCAACTTCTAATATAACTGTTGAAGACTTATTAGCACATTCAATTAAAATATGATGTATGTATGGTCATATTTTTCCTTCATAGAAGTGTTGCATTTTTCCAGACATCCCAGCTGAGCTTCATGCTTTAAACAGAGTAGCCTGCAGACTTTCTACTAGATGATGACACAAATGTTGAAATATAATGAAATAACGTGAAAATAAAGATACAGATTTATATATACATAATTTAATATGGTCCATGAGTTTAGGAAAGCAAAACTATATAAATCTAACATACATAGCAAATAACAGGAGTCTAAACATATACATAAAATAATTTATTAAATCTTTGGGTTTTGAAACCACTTTAAAATTAGGTCTGTACAGGGACATATGCATACATTGTCCGAAGACCTTTTACAAACAATCATGGTTATCAGATAAACTCATGAAGACCATTACTTTTTGAATATGTGTCACCTAGAATAATACCCCTTTGTCATTTTGGTTTTTACATGCATGCATACAGACACACATATTCACACTCTCACTCATGCAAAAATAATAATTTATCCAATTGCCATTCATCTTCCATCTCAATAAATCAGTTTTGTTTTCAGGCAACATTTATTATACATCTAACTCACTTCTAGTACTGTGATACTTTCTAAGATATTCTTTTAGAATGCTTTCAAGAATATTTGATGCAGTATTAAGATAAACATTCAATAAACTCAAGACTACTTACCTGTGCATATGAAAAGTAGTAGAAATATATATTTTGTATTACAAAGTAGTCAGTGAACTGGAATGGGTTCATTCACACAGCCAGATTCTTCTTTGTCCTTTTTCTCTCTTTGCCGTGTCCAGCTCTTTTCTCCATCCACAGCAAAGAACTTCAAAATCTATCAACTCCCTTCACCTCTCACCACTGTGTGCACCATGTCATCTCTAAAGGCACCAAGGTAAGTAAATGATGATATTCTAGCTGAGAAAAAATAGGAATAAACACCATGATGGAATCACCAGAAATTAATGACAGAATCAATGCACACATTCAGGAAGAGCTACCAAGGGCAGCAGAAAACATGCATCATAACATTCAGAGACAGCCAAGGAATACACGGGGTGTTCACCACAATGGGCAACCATTGAAACAAAGAAACTAAGCAAAGAAAGTGAAACCAGGATATCTTGAAATTTCTTTCAAATTCCCAGCACTTAGGACAGAGATGTATTGAGAAAATAAATTAAGAAGCACACAAAAATTTTTAGGAAAAATGCCTTAGAAGAAGCACAAACATACATTCATTGTAGAGGCAGGAAGAACTGCTAATGTGGCTCCTTCCATGTAACAAAGACTAGGAGGGAAAAAGACAAAGGGAAATGCAAACAACCCTGTGGGGTGGGGCTGTGAACAACTGCTTTAGAAAAGACACAGGGTCCCCAAGTAGAGCAGTTCTCCCACCTGATGGGCTTGCAGAAGCCCACCACTGCACCTTAGAAACACTTCAGGTTTCCACTTGAAAAATAGTTCCTGTGGTAAGACGGTCTTTCCTAAACAAGCTGAGAATGGACAAAGGACATTTCCTACACAGTTCAGCCATAAAGCAAAACAAAATGTCAGTTCCTCAAAGTGGGGTGCTATCTTCATTAAATTCAGATCTAATGTTGCAGGAGTGGATTTATAAGATGCCAGTATATCTTGTTTCACTTTTTTTAATTCATGGCAAGTTTCATACACTGTACCAAATGTAAGAAATCAAAAAGAGGTTAATCACCTGCAATTTTGTTCTATGTTACTCTCTACATAGATCATTGTTCACACCTGTAATCTCACCACTCAGGAGGCTCAGGCAGGAGGATGGAGAGTGTCAGACATGCCTGAGATGCTGTCCCAAACGACAACCAAAACACATAAAATATAATGATATCCAATTGCATAATTCTATTAATATCTACAGTGCTATTTTTAAAATAAATAAAATTGAGCTCTGGATCACCATCCTTCTGATTTGGCAGAAGTTAAGACAACAAATATTGAGGCTGTCTTCTTATCCCTTGCCTTTGGTAGTGTTACTCTAAATACATTTTTGATATCTAATGAAAACACTGTGTTTTCCAATGTGAGACAGATAGACAAAAAATAGATAAATGTAAGATCCTCCTGAACACAACATTTTCTCTATGAGTACATAGCTCACACACTTTATAAATCAGTCACCATTGGAAATTGTGAAAACAGTTGAGTGCACAAGGGGTGGGCTCTTTTCTACACATAGTTGTGTATGTCCTCAGACTTCCTTCACCTTGGTCAGCCCTGGCATGATGCAGATTATCCTTCTATTATGCACCTGAAAAGAACTTCACGCTGTGGGCAGTGGATCTGATTGTGTAAATGACCACCAAAGGGCTGGATGATAAAAGGCAGAAAAGCAGAGATGTTGGTTCTGGTGTGTAAATCCTGGCCAATGAAAAGAGAAGGCAGAGAAAAGCCAAAGAAATAGTCAATCACCTATCTGTAATATGGACTTATGCTACATCTGGTATACCTTGACTCCTCTTGGAAAAATCCTGGGGGGAAAAGGCACACATGCTGACCACGGTGCTACCTCCAGCACTCCATGATATATAGAACCACTTCTACACCTATGTTTATTGCAGCACTATTTACATTAGCCAAGCTTTGGAAAAACCCAGATGCCCACAACTGATGAATTGATTAAGTAAGTATAGTACATACATATAATGGAGTTTTATTCAGCCATAAAGAAGAATGAAATTATGTTGCTTGCAGGTAAATGGATGGAAGTGGAGAACCTCATGTTAAGCAAAATAAGCCAAACTCAAAAAATCAAAGATCACATGTTTTCTTTCACAGTGGAAGCTAAACCTATAAGTTAAAAGTATATATAGAAACATATAATCATATATATGTATTATATTTGTGAGTATATATATGTATATGTATATATATTATAACAAAGAGAACAGAATTGTATTAGTGAGTCTGTCTGAGTGGGTTATGGGAGGTGGGAGAGAGAAAAAAGTTACAAAATGAAAAATATTGAAACAACCCATCTATAAATGAATATAATATGATACACTGCACAGTGAGCTGTTGAATATTAGGGAAGCATGGTGATAGAGAATGAGTAAGGAGCATAGGGGAGGGGGCCAATTCATGAAAGCACAATATAAACAAACCTGAAGTACCAAGGTGAAAACCCCTTGGAATACCAACATACACTTAATTTTAAAAAATGAATGGCAGGAAGAAACAATAAATCTTTTCTGGGGTTGGTTCCAGTGGGAGGACAGTTCCAGTGGGCACAAGGAAAGGGGGAATGAAGGTATATACGGTGGATGTGTTTTGAATGCATATATGAAAATAAATGAATGAAACCTGTTCAAATTATTCTAAAAAGGTCTGGGGAGGGGCGGAAGAGGGAAAATGATGAAGAGGGTAAATCCAACTAAATATATTTTAAACTTATGTGTAATATCGCAATGTATCATCCTGTACAGTTATTATATACTAATAAAATAATAAATTTTAAAAGTAGCTAGAATATATCATTTCATTCACAAAAGAAAAAATACACATAAATTTCTAATCTTCACTATGCTCTGTAAAAAGCTATTGTATTGTTATGTCTCCACACTCTTCAGCTCAATCGATGTTAAGTAAACTGATATTTTCCCAAGAATTACAGAATTTTGTCCAGAGAAATGTTTCTGATGGGAAAGCTTACAACCCAAACATGAGATCAGAAACAGGGAATCCAGAAATTGGCAGATTTTGAGATGGGTTTTATTATCATTGATTTATCAGTCCTATTATATTTCATTCATTTCCCTCATGCATTTCTCCAGTAAAATATCATTTTTGACCAACTAATATATAATGCTGGCTTTTAGGTACTGAAAGTCAGCAATAAACAACTCAGATATCATCTCTGCCTCAGGGTGCTTACATTGTAAGGAAAGAGGTAGAGGATAAGGAAATAAATGCATAAATTGGATATGAAGAATGTGAAAATTCCCTAACATCCCAAATTAACATAATTATGTAGAACTGAGTTAATAAACATGCTTATACATCTCCTTTTATAATATAATTGTCAGCAATGATTATGTGAACACATTTCCTGTCACTTCCACATTTTACAAATTATAAGAACCTGATTTTTAAAAATTATATAAAATTAGTATATGAAAAATAGCAAGGGTTTACTTAAATAGCCAACTGTTCTAATGCATACATAAATGTAAACCACAAACTCTTCAAATGGTGAATAAGGTGAAACACACATGTATTCATAATTCTGAAAATATTCCTACCATATTTGGCATAAAGACATTATTTGAAAAAAATTAAACTATTGTCAATCTTCCTTTTATTCCATACAAACACACAAATATATACATTCATATATTCACTTACTTAATAAGTTTACGTAAATGACATTCTAGCTATATCTTTAGAAGTTACAAAAATACTTGAGATGAAAAATAAAATATTATAAAATTTATAGAAGCATAAAATATTACAGAATTCATCAGTTTGGTTTCTGCTAGAAGTCACATCTTCTCCCTGTTATGATCAAAGGACTTGATAGTTCCAGTTTTCTAAGCCAGCACCTCCTCTTATTCATCCTTTTGCTTCCCACATCAGGAGAAATGCATGGTTTGCAGAATAGATGATCCAGCAACCTGAATAGGCAAGGGGACCCGTTCATTCAGAAGCCTGTGGGATTAAAGACATGAATACATGCCAACTGAAAAGAGAAAAGAAACCACAGTCTGCAAGGTCTTCAGATGGATCTTACTGCTGGGATCTTGGGATCCTTTGCCATGGATCAATGTACCTGAGATGTTCATACAAGAAGTAGATTAAGGGACGCAAAAAGATCAGAGACATAATAAAGTTGTGATGCTCATTAGAGTGAATACAATCTTTCTGGAAAAACTCATAATGTCTCCCAATTTGGTCTTCAA